GGCTGAGTCAACCCTGAGCCGGTGAGATTTGAACCGCTGAACTGCTGATCTAGCAGTAGCCTGCAGTGCTGCATTTAACCACTGCGCCACCTTGTGTGCTTTGTTGTGTGCTAATGGATTTTTTTATTTATTTACAGATCTCATTCTTCCAAAATAGATAAATGTATCTAGAGAATACCCTATCTGTCTCACTTCAGTTCTCACAATTCAACATCATAACTTGGTGTTGAATATTGGATGTCAACAGATGAGCTTAAATATTAAGCAGAGCGGTAGACTGTTCTACTACTGGATAGCAATTAATTCTGGGCATCTAGAGTATAGTCCAGGAGCCACTAGGAATTATTGACTATTTCTCTTAAAACCAATCTTTTCATGTAAAGTGAAGGAGATATTAGCCCAATTATATTTACAAGAGGCAAGTGACGGCTTCCAATTTGAGTTTCACAAAATATTCTGCAGTTATGATTTAATAGCTCACGATTGGAGATATATTTTAGTAGCAAAGTTGAAAGATTTACAGATAAAATGAAAAAAATGTGGATTGGATTTTCTATAGCAGGGAGCCCCATCTGTGGGATGCAGGCAGCACGCAAAACCATGACCCTTCCGATCCACGGAAAAACCTTTTTCCATGTAACCAGTCCCTGAAGCCTAAAAGGTTGGGGGCCACTGTTCTATAGGATGAGATTGCAACTAGATAAGTAATTTAAGCTACTTTGTTAAGCAGACTTTAGGGTTTTATTCTCTCTACTGATTTGCCCCCTTTCCAGACATTACTATGTAAAATTTGTACATGAGCAAAGGATGTAATATTGCAGGAAAGAAAGAAAAAAGTCGTTAGTCAAGGATTGATTAGAGGTAGCCCTTCTTCAGTGATGTTGTGGTAGAAATACAGTTGAATTATTATTAGTGGGAGGCTAATGGATGGGAGGCACAGTAGGTCAGTGTTTTAAAATATGCTGCCAAAGATCTACACTCCAGCGATTTGAGTCCTATCATTGTGTGGCAGAGTGAATTCCCATCATTTGCTTCAGCTCTTGCCAACCTAGCAGTTTGAAAGAATGTAAATGCAAGTAGATAAATAGATACCACTTCAGTGGGAAGTTAACAGCATTCCATATGCCATTGTATGCTTCGCACTGCAGCATCATGTCATGCTGGACACATGACCATGGAAACATCTTCGGACAGTGCTGGTTTAAAGAAAAGGAGATGATCATTGCCCCTAAAAATAGGCTATAGCTAATGGAGTAAAACCCGCAGGGACTCCTTTACCTCTTACCTTAACTAATATAACAGAAGGATTGAATCTTGGACCACAGCAGAAGAGCTGGGTTGTGTAGTTGTTGGGTAATACAGGGACCACTGGTGAGTTTTGTACAATTGAGGACGGAAATGGTGGGATTTAAATGCTGGTGCTTCTGCTTCTAAAGTATTTATTTAAAATTGATAGTTTTTATTATTTTTCAATTTGACTGACTCTAAATATATAATATATATTTCAACCCTTTTTGGCATTAACAATTTTAAAAAGTGTGCCAGAACATGGTGGAAGACAATCAGCAATGTTTCTAAAACCAGATCTTTAAATTTAGAGGCAGTTTTTCTTTAAAATGGCTAGATATTTTATTTTCTTCAATTGTGTGAACTGTGTTATCTGCAGTCTACACAGAGGACAAACACTTTAAATGTATGATCCAAATTAATGATTTCTGGGAAGAAATTTAAAAAATGTGCTTACCTAATGAGATAAGCCTAACCATGATTAATTGTGCCTGCAATGAGTTTTAAATGAGAGACATAAATTAGTAATCATAAATATTAATCCATAGCAAAGATCTTGGTATCAAAATCATAGAGAATTTTTTTAAAGGATTTAAAACTGAAGCTTGTTATATTTTAATCTGTAGACTATAATTTCCAAATTATAGCTAGGGCTGGTGGGCTGCCCAGCCAGAGTGCCTTTCTGATCTGGTGTTCAGAAATGTGATGTTTCAGCAATAATAAGAAACAGTAAAGAATAAAAGACAACAAAAGCACATTGTCTCCTAGATGAACAAAACAATACTTATTTTGCATGTGGTTGTATGTATAATTTCACCTGCTTACATAAATGTCTTAAAATGGTGTTACCTAAAATACAAACAGGTTGTCTAGGCTAAAAGAAGCGGGATGCCTGAATAATTCTGCAAGCAATTTCTTGATTCTTTGACTTGCTCATCCCCTATTCTATATTATTTCTTTCGCCATATGACATAATACCAGATTATATTTATCCCTACGATTTTTCCCAATTTGAATATGCTTTGAAAAGTGACACTTGGACTGTCAAGCAAGAGACACACAGTTGCTGTTTCCTGTGTCCTGTTTTGCTTCCTTATTTTTGTTTTCTGTATTATACATGTACAATCAAAAGACCACAATCTAATAAACTTTAATGAAATAGAATGCTAAAACAAAACTGAAATATATTGAGTATAAGATGGATTAGGTACACATTCAGAGGGCAGTCCCACTCAACCTAGCTAAGTTAAATGGAACTGAAACCCAAATGGTTCCACTTAACTCCAGTATATTCTTCCTCTCCATCTCTGTTTCTTTCACTTTTTATTGTTGGGACTTAATCCAACAGAAAGAGTTTAAAATGTTTGTGTTATACCTGGTATATAATAAAATACAAACATCTAGATTTTATAGTCATAATATGAAAGTACTCTTGTTTTCCCCCCTATATAAGGCAAAACCAGCAAGCCAATATAAACAAGTATGTATTGTACAATTTGGCTATTTTTTTGGCATAGAATCAGAATAGTATTTTAGTCCAAAAGTACATTCAACATTGAATTCATTGAATGCACCCTTAACTGGGGCCAATAAATGTAATTTTTCCTATTTTGCTTGTTTGAAATAAGTGTGCATACTTGCACTTCCTTTACTATTTTCCTCCTGTGACATAGATGCAAGAAGAAGGCAAAAATAATGCTCGTTTTCAACTAATAATGGTTTATTATTGCCTAGCCTTGGCAAATTCAGCTTTGTTTATAGTTTGATCAGATAACCTAGGATTCTAATATCTATTGATAGAATTTGCCTTACTCAGGCAGTTTACAGCTTGTCCTCTATTTTTTTTTAACAAAAATCAGAAATAGTCTAGAGGATACTTTGCATATTATTTATGCATGCATAGCCATAAACAGCTTCACTCTGTCCTATATTCCCAGAAAGATTTAAGAACTAATTTGAGAATAACTTTACAATTCCTCTGAACTGATCTTTTTTTTCCTGTACCTCCTTAAAGGTTTGGAATGTGGTTAAAATGTTTAGTGTACTATACATTTAATCTTGAAATAGTGTACAGAAATAGTATACTGTACAGAACTAGAGTTCTAATTCAAATGTCAAATGTAAAGATATAAAAGTAGCTTCATAGAAGAAATCAGTCAGTGGTTCATTGATTCCCCCCCCCCTAGTTAAATGCAACATTTTTTGCATTCCTAATTTAATCTAATAGAATTACAAAAGGAACATTTTCATTGAAAATGTTTCCTTCAACAAATAGGAGGTCTTGGGGCTCAATTCTGATATATGTTTCACACGGGCAGCGTTAGAGAAAGCTAAAAAATGGCAACTGAGAAGAGGTGGGTGGAAGATAATTGTTTATTTTGAGGATTCATGAGAGAGTCACCTGAGAGTCAATATCTATAGAGAGAAATTTGATTTAACATTTGCCAACAACTCTGCAAATCAGAACAAAATGTTTTGGAAATGTATTACCTCTTCATGGATTTCTGGCAGAAAGGATAAAAACGAAGGGAAAACCCAGTAATGAAACCAATGAGTTAGCTAGAGAAGGTGGAAGCAACCAGTTGAAAAATAGAATCTGATTCCTGATACTGAACCTAAGAATAATGATTGGCAATCTGCACTGGCACCCTCCCCTCTCAGATAGCTATCTCAAGTCTGATTTTGAAGCATTAAGGGCATATCCAATGGTACGAAACATGAGATACTGATGGAAGAGAATATTTGTAACTCAGGGTTGAACTGTGGGGTCCTTGGTGCTCTCTGAGCTTAGTTATTTTCATGCAGACATTTCATTACTAAACTAGGTAAAATCATTATTGTAGAAGGGACCAGCCAATCTTAGTGTGGATTATCTTGGTGGTTCCTTGATTGGGCTGCTGCTTGCTTTAGCTTGTTTGTCTAAGTTGGTAGCTGCTTGATTGAAGTATTATTCACTTCTTATTAATGGTTTAATGTTTAATCTCTGCTCATCTGGGTTTGATTGCTGGTGGGAAGATGTTTGGATCTTTTGTTTTTCTTTTTGGCTTTTTGTCTCTTTTGAATGGTATATAGATGTTTTTCATCTCTATGTACCTTTTGGTGGCTGATTTGCCTGAGTGCCAGGCTGAGTGTGATGATGATCCCCCCCCCCCAAAATACAGGACTGTCAAACTCGCAGCCTGCAGGCTGAATGCATCATGCGCTGACCATGCCTGCACCAATTTTAGTGAAGGGGAAAGTCGTGACAAGTCACATGATGAAAACATGATGCCGTGAGTTTAACACCCCTGCCCTAATGGATACTAAGGAACTTTACCTAAGGATTCACAGTAGAAAGGCAAAAATAATAGAGTAATTTTAGACTTCACAGAAAAAGTTGCTCACTTGGAACTTTCTGTAGAGCTGCAAATGCTATGCTACCTTAATTCTTGTACATCTGCTATGGGTGGACGAGAGCAGGTATAAATAGTCTGGTGCTGTCTACATGGTTTAGGCTACTGTTTTCAGAATCCCTTTCCACTGTCCACACTGGCTGGAATCAATGGAAACTGAAAGCCCAAACATTTAGAAGTTACCAAATTTACTAATATAATTGACCAAATTCGACCACTAGTCGACAACTTCATAGGCATGTCCATGTATTTTTATTTCCAGAGAAGAAAAGAAGAAGAAAACTATTTATTACTTTAGGATTAATTTAGATGCTGCAAGAAGACCAATTATTTATGTGAGATTATCTATGTAAAATGTCTTTAATCTAATTATATATTGGAAATTGCTAGAATAACTTGAAGACATATTTTTATGAATAGCTTGCTGCATTGAGATGGTATATGGAGATGCTATTTGAAGAAATTATATCCCATAAAATGTCTATGTGAGATAAGACTTAAAATATATATTTATAGAAATGACTACAGCAATGGATGTCCCCAATATGGAATTTTTCATCCTCAAAGTATTTCCTGCCTCTTTTCTTTGTCTAATTTCCTTAGATATAGTTAAGTCTTTGGGAAGTTGTTTTAATGAGAGGAGGAACTATTAGAAAACTTTTCTCTTTTTAAGGAGAAAATAGTATCCCCACCTATACCAAAAAGATCTTGTGTTCCACATACTTTAAGTGACAATATATCCAGAGACAGAATTTTGAGATACATTACTTTGCTTAATATTTGCAGAGAAGAACCTTCATGACTGATTCATTCTTGGTTGTAAAAGGTTCCCTCTGGTCCATCAGATTGGCTGCTAGCCTTGAGGGGCTGTCTTCCACTACAAAAACGTGGCTTGGTTCACTTTAATAAGTTACCTTGGACTATTTGCTCCGCTCCAACTGCCTTTGCCATGTTTGAATATCATTACTTAATCATGTGGACATTACATAATGGGTGAGCCAGTTACATAAGTTGTGATCACTCAGAATTTCCAGCTGGAGATTCTTCTGGACTCCAAATCAGAAAACCCAGTTCTCCTTCTTTTTCTGTGGTCTGACCCAGAATGCTACATCAGGGAACACTTTGGCCTGAACTTCAGGCTCATCTCATGTTCTTTCAATTTATGGCTTTAATCTAGGACATGTCTTACTTTGCTCTGTGGTTTGGCTCAGGCATTACAGACAGTTCACATCGATGGGGGATTTAAACTGTTTCAAGGGAATATATCCAATTTTATGCTTACTACACATACAAGCCATAGGTTTTAATTGATAGATTAATTTAACACCAGCATTCAGTATTCTGATTGGTAATTAAAATAGGGTAAATAAGGTAATGTGGTCTTGTCACATATTAATAAGAAAGTTAGAAATAAAAATGAATCATTTATAAATAAAACTTTAATAAGTTCCAAAATAATCAGTCCCTTAATGTCTTTTAATTAAGCCAGTTCTGAGTTTTGGTTTGCTTTTTTGCCTCGTCATCCCTATGGTTCTAAAGAGCTAAATGCTCTTTAGTATTTGCTGCCAAATTTTCACAAACCCTTAGTCTAGATGTTTAAAATACTAAAGTATATTTAAGGCATTCTTTCTTATCAGCAGCATATACCTTACCCTTTCACAGTTCTAAAAGTGATTCAGCAACTTCTCCAAGTATGTACCATGGAAAAAACAAATAAATTTCAACATATGTACCAAATGTCTTCGTCTTCCTCTCCTATTACAGATAAAAGCTTCTTTGGAGGAACAAGAATTCACAGAACTTTGGGGAGAAAAAGCTAAGGAGAATTATGGTGACATCTGGCAGAACTTTACTGATCCACAACTTAAGAAAATAATCAGCTCCATTCAGACCTTGGGTCCTTCCAATTTACCAATGAAGAAACGGCAAGAGGTAAGAATCAGATTCTAGAAAGAATTGTGAGGTGGCAATGGGGAAAATATTATAGGCTAAGGGAGAGATGACCTTAGATAATCTTAGAAATAATGATGGAGGGACACAAGTTGAGAGGATGAATAAAATGAAGGATTCTGAAAGGACATACGGGTAGGTAATATTCACAATAACATACTCTAGTCTTGGCTGTATTGAGTGGTTATGAGGGAAGCATTCTCATATATCTGAAGAATAATTAGCTAAAGAAGTCTGACACATTTTTTTTTCTGACTCCAGAGTGCATAGACAAGAAGGAAGCTGCACTTGCTTTTTTTGTTTATGTCTCATTTTGCAGGCATTCCCAGTGACACATTTCTAAAAACAAACAAACAAAAAAGATGTCACCATGTCAACTCAGAAAAGTAATGACAAACCACTCCTACAGTGTTAATATATATATATAGTGTGTTCACGAAGTTGCCAAGAGTCAAGATTGACTTAAAACTGCATACATATATACAAACCAAATAATATCAATATAAATAGAATTCTGATTTTGCACTGAGGGCATTAAAAAGATTGTGTGAGACCATAAGCTAAATAATCCATCTAGCTAAATAATACTACCCCAGTTAAACACATTTCTGTTTAACTGAGAGACAAAGCTTACAAAAGAAGAATACATATGGAGGACTGAATGGTCTCCCACTGATCAACTAAATTGTCCTCCCCTCCCCCTCAGTGTCCATTTGTGTTCTTTGTGGCTGTCCAATCACCTCCCTCTGTCATTTTATTGTTATTATTGCCTCCCTTCTCCTCCTCTTTCAAACCAGTGCTCACCCAGAAATTAGCTCCCCTTCATAATAATTTTCTCCAGTAACTTTCTAGATATTTGCCTTCACCAGAAGCTGACATTTTTTTCCTGGCACTGCTCCCACTGTATCTTATCTTTCAGTGATCACTCTTCTTGCCCCTTCATTGTAATGGCCATGTTGATATGCATCATCACCTTTTCAGATTCTTTCAGTACAAACCTTTGTCCATGCGTTCCAAGCTACTTATTTCTATGAGGAAAATGCATTTTATATTATTTTACTTCGCTGTTCCAGCTGCTCCTTCACATTCACTTCAAGCTTTAAAATCCTCCTTTAATTATTCTTTAGTTATTTCAATATTCAAATTACTAAATGTTCTCTAGGGAATCAAGTGTTGTTAAATAATCCAGAACATTCCTCTTTTGCAAACTGCTTGTTCTTGAGATCTTTAAAGCCTAGTTTTTTCAGAAAATCTTCTATGTTTGAAAGATATTTTCCACATACATACATACATACATACACGCATGCATGCATGCATACATACATACATACATACATACATATATACATACATCCTATCTATCTTCTCAGAAAATCCTGGGCGATATATATTTGGTGTCTTCAACTCCATCTTGACTCCTGGCATATTGGTCAAGTTTCTGCAGTTTTCTTGGCAAGGTTTCATAATTGGCTTGCCATTATCTTCTTCCTAGGGCTGAGAGAGAGACTAGCCTAAAGTCACCCATCCAGCTTTGTGCCTAAGGCAGGTTTTAGAAATCACTGTCTCCCAGCTTTTTGCCTGATGCCTTAAAGCAATACGCAGTGGTAGCTTCTTAAAATTTCTATTATAAAAGAATGAATAAAACCAATGCCGGAAGCTTGTTTCTTTAGTGTGTCACTTTTTAATTATATATTTAAAATAAAAATAATTATCAAAAGTTCAAGAGGAACAGCTAACTTGGCAGGTTCCTATAGAGGTACAGTGTTTATGGTGAAATTGATACCTATAGACTATGTAATGTAAATATACATGTTGTAAAATTAAATTGTTATTCAAACCTGTACTTTTTAATGCTAATTTCAGTATAATACTATTCTAAGTGAGATGGACAACATCTACTCTGTTGCCAAGGTTTGTGCACCAAACCAGCAACCCTCCTGCTGGGCTTTAGAGCCAGGTAAGTACTTCCTTCTCTACGTTAGCCCAGCTCATTCGTTGCAGGTGTTTTGCATGCTTCTTATTATTTTCTGGACCGTGAGAGCATCCTTATACATGGATATGAATATAAAGTTGATTTATAGTAGATTATAATTTCTAAGATTGCAAACAGTGAACCTATATGTTTTAATTACATAACATCTAATATGAAGGTACTCCTTGCCAATTGCCTTGTTCGTAGACTTTTTAAATTTACAATGGCACTGAAGAAGTAGATATACAACCTTGTTTTCAAACTTGCAGCCATTGCAGTATCCTGAAGTTACATGATCTTCATTTGAGGCCTTGGCAGCTACTGTGCATTTATAACAGTTACAATGTCATGTGGTTACATGATCACTATTTGCAGTCTTTAACAGCTGGCTCCCAACAAGCAAAGACAATGGGAAAACCAGCAGTAATCTGCAAGACATGGTCATGTGACATTGTGCTTAACAATCATGGGTGATCTGCTTAATTATCACCGAGGAACTAATGTCAGTTGGGCACAATCTCATGTGGTATCATTTTTTTATAATGAAATAAATGCACCAAAGAAAAATTGTAGAAGAGAAATTGAGAAGTATAAACTATATCCTCCCTTGAGTTTCAATCATTTATTTTTCCATAAACTGAATCTGTCCTTACAATTTCTCAAAAGTAACTATACTAAGGTTTTTGAAGCAAGCGTACTGTTAGAAAATAGGTTTTCCATTGCCAACCAATATAGAATTAGTATTTCCTAATTTGGAAACCCTAGTCTCTTATTTTTGAACTAATATCTACCATAAAAATTTTTTAACAAATCAAATTAAAGAATATAGAGACTCATTTTCTTTTGCCATTTATGGAAATTCTCAATCATCTGGATCATTATTATCCCACAGGTGCTTTCCCAAAAGGCAAGAGGACTTTCTTGTTTTTTTCTTGGAATGTTTTGCTTCTCACCCAAGAAGCTTCTTCACTTCTGACTGAATAGTGGGGAATGGAAGGATTTATATTCTTTGCAGTCATCTGGTCATTAGCACTTTGAGGGTTGGTCAATATTTATCTGAGATTGTATAAGAGTCATGTGAAACAGAAGCTTCACGGGACTGTAACAACTCAACTTTCCCCCCCTTTTTTTTCTACAGAAGGGAAAGGTTTTTTGACTGGGCAGCTCGACGTGATTAAGGCCGTTCTGCTCCTCCTTTGCGCTTCTTGCCCATGGGCACGCGCTGCCCTCCTCTCTATGATAGCTGCCTGGTTAAAAAGGAGGAGGAGGCTCCGCTGGTCTGGAGCCTGTCCGTGGGGGAGGGATCCCCCTCACATTCCTCATCTTGTCGGATGGGCTCTGGACCAGTGGAGCCGCCTCCTCCTTTTTAACCAGGCGGCTATCAGAGAGAAGAGGGAAGCGCGTGCCCATGAGCTTGTGCAGCAGCCAAATCCTCGCCTCCTGTTCTTCGGCTGCTGCACAAGCCCAAGGGCATGCGCTGCCCGGTTTCGTGACTCCGGCGTAGCTTCAGAGAAAGAAGGCGTGTGAGAAAGCCCCCCCCCCATCCCCACTGCCTGAATGTTTGAATGAAGGAGGCTACAGGCTCCTTTGTCCTTGGCTATGCTATTTCCTTTCGTTCTCTGCTGCCCGAACGAGTGAATGAGGCAGAGGGAGAATGAAAGGAGATCGCATCGGGCGGGGGGAGCAAGCCAAGCATTCCGGTACTATGCCACCGGAGGAAGGGGTTCTAAAACGTATGCTCAATTTCACGAACAGGTTCTAGCATACCGGTTAGAACAGAAACCCACCCTGCACTGCAGCCAAACTGACCTGGAACAAGGAGCGATTGCTTCCTCTGCCCGCTTCTTCGAACGGCAGGCCTCAGTGGCAGTTAAGGCTCCTATCTTTAAACACAGAACTTTCCTCACCACTTTATGCGGTTGGGCCCGGACTTGCTTTCTGAGCACGGGGCGATGGGCGGTAGTTTGCGTGGAAGCCCAGTTAAGTCCTTTGCTAGCAGGCAGGTTCTGGGACACCTGCCACCACCAAAGGACCTTCCTGAAGTTGCTTTTCTGAGCACAGGGGAAATGGACAGTATTTTGTCCCTCTGTCTTCCCGTTGCTCAGAAAAGCAACTCCAGAAAGGTCCTTTGATGGCGGCAGGCATCCTAGAACCTGCCTGCTAGCAAAGGACCTTCCCGGGCTTCCACGCAAACTACCGCCCGTCGTCCTGTGCTCAGAAAAGCAAATTTGGGAAGGTCCTTTGGTGGTGGCAGGAGTCCTAGAACCTGCCTGCTAGCAAAGGATTTAGCCAGGCTTCCACGCAAACTACCGCCCGTCGTCCTGTGCTCAGAAAGCAAGTCCGGGAAGGTCCTTTGGTGGTGGCAGGAGTCCTAGAACCTGCCTGCTAGCAAAGGATTTAGCCAGGCTTCCACGCAAACTACCGCCCGTCGTCCTGTGCTCAGAAAGCAAGTCCGGGCCCAACCTCAAAAAGTGGTGAGGAAAGATCCGCGTTTAAAGATAGGAGCCTTAACCGCCACTGAGGCCTGCCGTTCGAAGAAGCGGGCAGAGGAAGCAATCGCTCCTTGTTCCAGGTCAGTTTCGCTGCAAGTGAAATGTTTTGAAGGGAAAAGGTCTCCCAAAAAGTCCAGTTGCCTTTTGGAAAATCATCTTTGGAGCTATCAGGATCTCAATGAATCAGAATAGAAGCTGGAAGGGACCTTGGAAGTCCTCTAATCCAGCCCTCTGCTCAAGCAGGAGACCCTAATCCATTTCAGACAAACGACTGTCCAGTCT